ATGCATTTAAAGTATCATTTCTTTACAAACTGTCTATTAAACAATATCTCAATTAAGATCTGTAGATCATTACAGAATATTTCCCTCTTTATTTTATACTACAGATTTTAATAATTATTATCACGCCTCACTAGATGTATTCGTTGATTTAAAAAGTCACAAAACTTCTCCTGATTCTCTCCTATTAATTAGTAATTTACATAGATTCTTCTTCGAATTTTATGTTATTCCCTAGTGAAATAATGAAGTTCTTAGCTTGTGTGAAAAATATCTGTAATAGGATAAATTTTTGGGGCAGGTTATAGCGTTCGGATTCTTCTTTAAATTTTATACAAGTAGGTAGAATACACCGGTTTTACGCCGTGAAGCTCTGAGGCTCACAGGAGTCCGGGGCGCTATGGCTCAGACGACCACCACATGCTTTATTTATTGAAAGGCAGAAAAGTTTTCCCTCTGTGAAAATTTCGTGCTACTTTCAAAACAAGAGAAGGATGAAAATTCAGCCGCCCAGACGGGACAGTGGTTAGCGGCGCTGACTGCCGTACCCCGGGTTCGGATCTCGGAAATGGCAGGGCAGGGATGTCTGTAAATGTATAGTGCTTGTGTGGCATGGGAGCGCTCTAAATATGCGGCGAGCCGAAAGACCGCTTGAGAAGTTGGTGGTAGGGAAGAAGGGTGGGAGACCCTGAGACCCATCAACCCCCTATGATGCTTCAGAATTGGAGGTCGTACTGTCACCTGTAAGGTGCTTAAGACTATTGCCGACGAGAGGCGCAGTTTTACACTCCTTGCCACGATGAATTTCGTGGGCTTGTACTGATGTTACTGTGATACAAGTGAGATAAGTCACAACAACAATAAAAAAATTCATTTAGATTTAGCACTTTTTCTGAAGCGTAAAATGTAAATTTTCATTTTCCTAGGACGAAAAGTATTTATTTCAATTTTCATTAGGCCTAAAAAGAAACTTTTCAACTAAAAAAGATTTTTTTTAGTTGAAAAGTTTCATTGTTTTTAGGGCGAAAAATTTCCGCTTTTACTTTGTCTATGGGAAAACCCAGGTTAATTTCAAATTGTAAGCAGAAAAAGTTACATTTTGATTTAAGAAAGTCGAAAAAAATTCATTTAGACTTTTCTTTAGGTCGAAAACGTTTCACCTTCATTTTTTTAGGGCAAAAAAACTCCACTTTTATTTTGTCTATTGAAAATCCATATTAATTTCAAAACGTAAGGAGAAAAGGTTACACTTTGATTTTGACAAAAATGTTTGCGACTAAAAAGAAATTTTTAACTCGAAAATGTTTCACTTTACATATCTTCTGAGACGAAAACGTTTCATTTAAGTAATTTATTTGCTTTGTGAAGGATAAATAGAAAGTACATTTAAAATAGTTCATTGTTTAAATATCATTCTTAAACTATAATTTTCTTTTACAAATGAATACTAAGTACCTATTTTACATGAATGAGATTACATGCAGTTTGTAGATAAATAAAAAATGCAATAAGTTTCATATATACTAAAAATTAATGGAACATTTTTCCATTAAGTGATTAAAAATGGAAATCACATGAAGATTATCCATATGAATCCAATCTTAATCTTTTTTATCCTGTGCATATTGATACGGATTTAAATATATTCACAAGAAACGTTTTTCTTTCGCTTAATAAATGTACTCCAAAGATAACGGTAGTACTACATAGCTAACTGCAGTACTTAAAGCTACATTTCAGTATTTCATTATAGGAATAACCCCTTTTTAACATAAAATTACAGCCAAATAATGTTTCCTTTTCCCTTATAACTGTGTTAGAATGGTAATTTAATTAATGTTACTAAATGTTGCCTTTTTCCAATGCCAAAACTCAAAGACGATGTAATTCATTCAAATTTTCTTATATTACATACTACATTAGTACAGAATCCCATCTTAGAATTATTTTCTTAATATTAAGAACTAAATACGAAATAAGCATGTTCCTCTGTAGAATATTTACTATTTTACCCAAATGAGGAGGGAACCTTGAAATAAGTGGTTTATCCAGAATTCCCAAAAAATTTTAGAAAATGTGCTTATAGAAAGCAATTATGTTTACCTAAAAATTGGTCTTATCGATTTATAATGAGTGGAAAACCCTCAGGTTCAATTTATCTAGGCTTATCAGTACGTATACATAAAAATCATGAATCATTTTATGGTACAGTCAGTACTCTGGATATATTTAATACTGATTCAACTAACGTGAAAAACTTCCAACTAGATTTTTAAAAGATAAGTATATTTACATATTGTTAGATTAGTCTTAAGAGTTATTTAGGAGAAAATGCAACTAAATACTATGATAATTCCACTCATTAGGGATAGTAAAACTTTGATGCATTAGTCTATGGCTAAATAAAAATAGATTTCAATATAAATAAAAAATTTCATTAAAATATATGCTTACAAAATAGCTTCGTTTTTCACAAATTTTCTATTTGGTTTCGTAAATGTAACAATGAAATGTTCTCAATTTCATAAATACAACTGCAGGTGTCTACTTAAAGTTTTTGCGCAAGTCTTTTAAAGTTCATTGACAATATTGCTTTGTCAGTATTATTAATAGCTTTTTCTCGAGTCGTCTTCATTATGCAGGGGTGACGGCGCTGGTTTGGATGATAGACTGTACATCCCTCACAGATCCTTATTGAGACTGGGTTAAATATTCCTCATAAATCGCGTTATTAATTAATTATTTATGCGTTATTTCACTGTATAAATCTAAAAGTTTATCGGTTTGATATGAGTGTAATTCCAAATGATATGACACGAGACGAAAACTACCGCAGGTACTTTTAAAAATTTGTTGAAAAATTATATTGTTTGCGTGAAACAACGCCAACTGATTGTTAGTTATAAAGGATGCTTCCGAATACTTGAAATTAAAGTTTGGTAATTTCTTCATGAAATCATAACATGTCGCAGAGGTCACAGTCACATCCTCAAAGGAAGACCTGTAGTTAAAATTATTCTTTTCGGCAAAGTTTTGTATATGAATTTGAAAGTTATTATTCTTAAAAGGGTGAAAAGACTACCAACGACCAACAATTGATCAATTCATTATGATTTTGTGATGATTGGTAATGTCGATTCAACCAGTCGTCCTGAATATCTCGTCTTCTAAACTTTCTTTCTTGCGCGGAAAAATCCTTTGGTGTTCCGAATCCATCTAAAAAATATAAATTCAGACCATAGAAACGATGCAAGAAATACACAGATTTTCATAATGAACTAAAAAGCAACATCGAGAACGATGTATCATAAAATAAATAAACACTCGAATAACACGTCTTAATTCAAAAATAGTCGGGGCAAAAGCAAGAGGGAAGCATACAGCACAGCCAGAAATGATGGAAATGGCTTGTTTATGCTTCAAGTTGAAACCTTAAAGGTTGTATGCTTGAAGCATAAACAAGCCATTACATGCATACCTTTAAGGTTTCAACTTGTCAGTGGAACGCTTTAAGACAGTAATTACATAAAAAATTAGATGCTATCAAATGCATTGCATCTGAAACAACAAAAGACAGCGAGGGAAAAGAATACCCCCCGAATCCAATTTATCTTAGAAATAAAGCTCTCCGAACTGGTGCTAGTGCGATTGAAAGGGAAGGTAAATAAACAAAGTAGACCTTATACTGAGATGAGAGAACATTGGAGCAGGAAATTCGATAGTATAATGTCAATAGCATAGGGATAATATGTTCATGTAAATGTAAACTAAATAATATGTATATAAAATTATTAGATGTAAGGTAAACATAGTATGACATAAAATGGCTCTACTTACAGATTAGTTTACATAATTTATTACAGTTTATATCGAAAAGTGAGAAAAAATGGCCCAGCGTCTCTCTATATAAGCCTTGCACAGATTCTACGACAACCAGTCACAACGCAGACTATTGCCATATACTGGCAATTGAATGTTCCCGAAAGAGCGTGCCATTGCAGCAGCAAATCCGGTATGACGTAGGAACTCCTCTCGATCAGGATGCTGCGTTAGTAGGGTGAGATAAATATGGAATCCTAGATGACTTCACAAGAGCACGCTGACGTTCATCATGACGTACAACCTTTCTTTAACAGGTCAATCAACCGCGGCTATCTGCAATGCGGGATGATATCCCAATAACTGAAATACATAGCTGATCTCGGTAATGACATAAAATGCTTTCCAAAAACGTCAGTGATACACAATGAACCAAGTGGGTTACTCCCCCAGTTGCAATCTAGGATGAAGTCACAATATTACGAAATAAAGTTCTTTTTATTTCAAAAAGATCTGTAATAGGATAAATTCTTGGGGTGTTTACAGCATTCTTCATCAATTCATTAAAGAATATGCATCTTCCTCGGGGGGGAAATGTATGATTTAATGCTATTCAAATGCTACTTCTTTGACGGGTTTTTCAATTCCATATCTCCTGAAATTTTACGAAACATCTAATTAACGAATTTTGTTCCATAAACCGGCCGTAGTACGTTTTCATTTCAACCAATTTAAACCCATCAAAATATGTTAAATTCAATTAATGATTTTATTTCATTTTTGACCAAAGATGCAAAGAGTTATCGAAACAATCAATCAATCAAGCTGGATTTTAATTAATCTCAAGATTCAAAAGTATTTACACACTTCTCTTCGTGAATTGTTTGTCTTTTCTCCTACTTTTTTTTTTATTTATTTATTGCAATAGAGCTGCGCTTAATGTTTGTTACAATATGATATTTATGGCCGAGAAAACACGCTTGTTCTTTTAAACCAAATAATTTGCTTGGACCATACTGTTTATCCCGGAAATAACCGAGATTTCTTCATTCCAAAGGTATATAAAAGAAGAAACGATTTTATAAAAAATAATGGTTGAATTATATCATATGCTTACGCAAATTGTTTTCTGGAAAATCTTTATTAATCTAAATTTTGATATTTTCACAACTGTATTTTTATAGTGATGGAAGAAGAGGTGGTGGTAGCAGGGGCGGCAGCAGTCGTGGATCTAGCAGCCGAGGATCCAGTAGCCGTGGTTCGACATCATCAAGAGGATCAACAATAGAAAGAAACCGAGACCGAAGTCGACCAGCACCTGCTCCTCAACCAAAGCCTGCATATAAGCCTTCTCCAAGACCAGAAACTTCGCATCCAAAGCCCGCACCATCACCACGGCCTCCAGCACCATCACCTAGACCTTATGTTCCATCTCCCAAACCTTCAGCTCCTGAAATTAAACCCCAAGAACCTAGCATAGCAAGACAACCAGCCTCTAACCCAAATTTTAAGGAAACTGATAAAGTTCAAAGTGCACCTCAGCCACCATATAATCCTAACTACAATCCAAACACTAGAGGCCAATCTCCACCAGGGAATCAACAGCCTCCTGCGTATCCTCCGGGAGGAGCTCCACCAGCTTATTCACCCGGTGTTCCTCCTCCAGCTTATTCACCTGCTGGACAACCCCCACCTTATGCACCTGGGGGACCACCTCCACCTTATGCTCCTGGTGGTCCACCACCAGCATACAGTCCGCCAATAGGTAAATTTATTTATTAATGGCTGTGATCAACCCTTTACTTACTACTTCTTTCCGCACAAATGTTGAACACTGAAAAGAAATATAGTTTATAAACACCTTTTACCGCGATCAATGAAAAATGAAATTAGATTAATGAATTATAACAAAATACATTAGGCTATGGGAAGGGATATCTTTGCGCCAGAAATTTAGAGGTAAATTGGCCCATGTTTGCTATCCAACAGAAAAACAATAAAAATATATGCAATCTACGTAGTTCATCCGATTAGTTGAATGGCCTGGAAACGTCTGAGAATACTTTTATAAGTTCTTTTATTTTAATCGATTATGGCAAAATACGTAAGGGCTATCTGCTTAAGACAAAATTTAGCTTTGTGAAGAATTTCCTAAAAAATGTCGCTAGCTTTTTCGTTAAAAATAGATAGAATCACTACTGAGCTGCATAAATGGTAGTATTATTTTGTATTCTGCTATAGGTAAACTGCCTAGCAAATAATAATATTTGAAATTTTAATAACAGTTTGGCGAACTATAAATAGTTTATGCAGCTGTTGTGCCAAACCTGAGCAAACTGACTGAGTGTCACCACTGGCCACATTTACTTTACGTAATGGTAAAACACCAAAGTTCCGTAACTGTAGCCTGTTCACCGGGCTTCTAGTCCACTAATAGTAAAGTGATAAGACTACCGAACACTAAAAGTTTGACCTACGTTCAAATCACGGCGAATAAGCTGGCTGCGTAGGAGTTTTCGCAGTTTCTTTCGTATATACCAGGAATACGAGCCATGTTTCCGTTAGAAAGCCGAGATATACCTTCCCTTATGCAGATAACCCTATTGTGCTTTGCCATTATCTAATTCCTACTCTTACAATCACTGGGTTTTGAACTCTGCACGAACTACCAGTGCTCAGCTGTCTGATTTTCTCTGTCTCTGGTGAGCCCCACTGGGAACAAGAAATGAAGCCAGCAACTAGTTTTTTGTACTTTTAAAAATGATTCGGTCATTCGTAAGCACCGTACTCAAAGCTTACTGTGATTTACTGGAAAAAAAAATTAGCAATCCTGTATTAAATCTCACATACCTGAATCCTTGCAATGATTTCGTATAAGAATTAGCTGCTTGAGAGTTCGGTAAGTTAGGTACAAATTCATAAATGTTTTCTTTCTTTACAAGCGAAATTTTACATTATAGGTGTTGCTAATTTTATTACAAATAATTTGCTTATCAAATTCATTAAACTTGAAAGGTGAAAACAGGTCTATTACAGAATGAGACAGATTCAACTAAATATTATTTTAATGAAGTCAGCAGGCATGTAAAGAATTCCAAGAAAAATGTTCAATATAAAGAAGTGAGATGGCTGGTTCAGGCATTTCAATATCAATATGAAAGGAATCTTGCTCACCGGATGACAGTTTCCGTTTAGTTGCTTATGGCAAAGCACACTAGGGCTATCTGACTAAAGGGGGGGATGCCTTCGTGGGAGACTTTCCAACGGAAACTGGCTCGTATACACGTTACACATGAGGAAAACCACGAAAACGCCCATGCAGCCACCCCGTTCGCGTGGAATTGCAATCAGGTCGGAACTACCAGTGTTCAACGATTTTACCGCTCGGCTGCCAGTGGGCTCACACGAAAGACGAATACATGCTCTCATTGTAAAAAGGATGATTTACCACAAAACAGCATAAATGCAAGTAAACCTTTTTGCTTTCCACTTTAACTACTCACATAAAATTACTTTACTTTGGCCTAGCAAGCGGTACTGCAGCTATTTAGCTATTTACTTTCCACTGAGGATTAAAAAATTCATGTTGCAGGCTTACTCACGATGTATCACTATCAAAAGGCAATAGGAATTAGATAAAACAATTAATTTTTCTTGAAAAGGCCAGTTTCAGATGTGGCAGTATCATGATTTAAGAAAGAATCTTGCTGAGAAGCCATGCTGAAATTTCAAGTACTTAGTAGTAGAACCATTTAGGGTTACCGGAGTGAAATCTTTGACAAAAAATTTGACTAAGTCGATCTGTTAATTCTTTTATTTTAATGGATGATAATATGCACCCAAACAACGGCTGGACTGGATGAACTTTTGAAGGTAAAAGTAAGCAGCGGATAACTTAGCCATGTTTTTGATCACCAGACGGGTGTACTCCAACTGCGCGAATGAAAATCCCCCCCTCGTCCTGGTATAGTTCAACTGCGCCAATCAAAATTTCTTTCCCCCTTTGCCTATAGGGCTACAATTTTACTTTTCAAAGCCAACTGTAGCCAAGAGGAAAATAAAAATAAAGAAATAGAATTACATATCACAATCACAAGAACAAGTAAAGAATATCTAACAAGCAGGCTAATTACTTGAATAACAATAATAAATGCGAGAGCTAACAAAGAAAATAAAAGATATTGGTAAACATACATATTAGCATTGCAAACATCTTTCATTAATTACAATATTAGAGAAAAGAGTATTGCAATAATATCATACATCAAATAATTGTAAAGCATACGAATTATACTTTTTATAAATTACATCAATAATAGTCAAGATGTCTGAACTAGACTGGGAAATTTAATATAGTTCACTGGCGTGCAGAAGATCATTTTGTATCAAAGTATGTTAAAGTGTGCTAGAAATACCTTTTGTTAATTAAAGTAGTCATGTAAATATTTGCAGAAATTAATAGTTAAATTTAAAAAAAGCTTAGCATGAAATCTATTATAATAACTATTATAATTACAAATCTTTTAAGCGTTTGAACACTGCGTATAAATTGTAAATAAATTTAAATTATTATGCTAAGAAATTTTTTCTAAAATTTATCTAGAAGAAAAGAATTAGATAAACAATACTGCAAATTAATATAATCAATCAGGCCCCTCAATAAATAAAAGCTTATTTTTTAACCAAAAATTAAAAATTGGGATACAAAAGTTTGTGTAATATACTTGGAAATATCTCAACATATAATTAATTAGAAACGTACAATTAAATTAATAAGAAGCTAATTAAGAGCAAAATTAAGCTTAATTTCATTCAATCTAAAACAAGCAATTGATCAGGAGCTCCGCATAACTGAAGTTTTATTGCTATTTTACGTAGATTTGCGTACAAAATGAATATTTGCATTTGTGAAAGAAGTGAATAATGTACTGATAGTCAACAGGAATTAAAATAACAGTGGTTAAAAATATGACTACTTGTCAGAAAGTATGTAAAGTTGCCATGTCTAGAGAAATTGAATGATTATAGAAAACTCATAAAGTTAAGCGCTACAGTGTGAAAAGAAAATTCTGGAATAAACATGTTAAGAAAATTAGATGGAGAAATAATCCTTAATTTATTGATATCCAATATAAACTCTATGCTTTTGGAAAATGTTACATATAATTTGTACCGAGGTATTAACTACCGAAACCGAGTTAATTTCTTTCGTTATTTTTACTCAGTAAATAAGTACAAAAAAAAGAAAGAACTGGGGGTTCACTGGGACTAGAAACTCGCGTCGAACTACGAATGTTTTGTGACTTTTCCGCTTGACCATAAGACCTTTTGAAATTAAGCTAAACAATATATTAAAGAAAATAGAAGATACAGCACACGTAAGAACAAAAGTGGGCTGAATTAGAGATTTACATGTTTAATGAATGAGTTAAACTTACCTGTATGCTATTATGAAATAATAGGAATGTAGCATAAAAGCATGAATGAAAAAGGCAATGGCTATCTAAATCATTGTAATCTAAATGTATAACATTATCAGTATCTGCTATTAATTTCAATACTGCTGAAAGAATTATAAATGAATTATATTATAAATCACATGAACTCATTGCGTTATAAATTACAACAGTTAAAAATATTATTAGCGTGATTTAGCAACCGTCTTTATTAACAAATAATTTCAAATAATTAATTTTACAAATAACTCAGCCTGAAACTAGGTTGGAAAATAAGCTGCATGCTGAAGATTAAGCTTTGCCAAGGTGTTAGAAACATCTTCTGTTAATTAGAGTTGTGATGCAAGAATTAGTAAAAATTATCATTTAAATATAATTTGGCATAAATACAATTCAAAGTATATAAATTCTACATACATGAAAACTTGAGTACAGTGCAACAATATGTGAAAAAGGAATGGATTAAAAAGGAACTGAAAATCCCAAGATATGAATATAAGGGAGTTTGAATTATTTTTTTAAGTATGAAAGTTCTGCAGACGCTCATAATTATCAATTTATTAGTTAAATGTGTATTAGAAATTAAATGTATGCCAAAGTACATCAGGTGGAAAACAGAATAAATATTTAAACGTTTCTAGTATTAAAATATGTAATTGGTAAGAAAGTTAAATAACCTTAAAATAACTTCAATGACTAAAAATGGAAACCTTAATACGGGAATATATTGCAGTAATATTAGTGTGAATTTAGAACGACTTAAGAAGTCCAATTTTTAGATTTAATACAGAAAATTTTTAAAATTAAATTAGAAGGCAGTTTACCTAAAATGGTAAATTTGAAAGTTAAAAACCACTCTGCTATTTAAGAAGATTTGTTAATATTTATCTAGACAAGAAACTTATTTAAGGTGCGCTAAAAATCCGATATTTGATAGGTTGATTATGTATCAGTTTTGTGTACGTCATTAATCTATCAATTTTACTATTCAAAACTGATATATATATCAGCGACTAAAATCTACAACTTGGAAAGTTTTTAATTCTTACAGAGAGTAAAAAAGATCTGGCTCATCATTCCTTTAAGCATCATAAAACTTTAAAATGAGTGTAAAAGAAATTTATTTTTACTTTAGCACACGCAAGACTTTAAATTAATTTTTTTTTTTTTTTTTTTTTTTTTTGCATGCACAATTTTTACAATATTGATAAACGAAAATAAAGGCTTGCAGTCTCAATAAAATGTCTCATTAATGGCGATAAATGACTTTTTGCTTTTTGTAGCATCCAATCTTCTTGGGAAAGAAAGAAGGGACAGGAAACGTCGCGCAGTTCGTGGATTAGATAAGACGGGAACGAGGATCTTCAATCAAATTTCGCGCAGTTCGTACCCTACCCACCAGAAGCTGCTGAAGTGCTTGTCAGGCTACGAAAAACGTGCAGTGGCTAATTTCTGTTATTTCTTTAAACAAACTGGCTGAAACAAGGGAGAAGAGTATACAGATCTGCTCATGAATGAACTGTCCATTGAAAATATAGAGAGATTTTCAAACCAAGAATCTTATATCACGCTAGTGTTTATTTTCGGAATTATTTTATACATGCTTTCTTGCTTTTTAGTCAGAAGATGCATTTCAAGATTGTAGAAACAATGCAGATAATGATAAATTATTACATTAGCTGCATTTATCATTTTTTTTTTTTTTTTCATTCTCAGCTTGTTTAAGTCTTATGAAATGACCAGAAATGCCATTTTGTTGATTGACGTTGACGTTAGTATTAGAGGTAAAAAATTTTTAAAGAAATAAATTTAAAAGTAGAGAAAAAAATTATTTTGCAATGAAAGAATTTCAATAGCTAATTTTTTTCTATGTTCTTGTTTAAGTAGGTTCATTATTTTGTAATTCTATTTTGAATACTTGACTATTTGCCATATATTTCTCATACTAAAATTATTCCAAAGAAAAATACGACTTGTTATTATACTGCAGTCATAGTTTTATTGAAACTCATTGGTGTTTCTGTATTATAGCTTAATGTACAGCTCTGTCACAATTCATTGTATTCCTGTTATCTTAATTTAGTTTTACTTAGTTTAGCGATTGGAAATAAATGTGCTGTCTGATTATATGTTCTATGTTAATCAACTGACGATGTACACTGAATCAATCAACTATTAATAAATTAGTATTTATATACAATTGACTGATTAACAATAATCGATCATTAACAAATGTAAATTACCAACATTGATAAGCTGGGATCAAACAATATCAGATGCCACCTAATATAACATGATTAATTAATTAATTATCATAAAATGATGTAACAAAAATTCTCTCTAAGAATTATTTTACTGGTAACTGTTTTAATAGTTAAAGAAAAGGAAAAAATAGAGATAATAAATAGTACCCAAAATATAATCTATCAAAATCCTACTTGCACTTCAAATTAATAATCTATTAAGTTGAAAGTTCAGATGCCCAAAATATTTTGAGCATTTCCAGTATGTAAACAGTCACCCATTTCAAATTAACGTAGAGGTTTTAATGTATCAAGATTAACTCTGATTTAATTTATTACTTCGTAAATATACAGTTAGTTTCGCAGTTAATTATAAACTTTATAGAGAAATAATTACTGTAGACTTTATTAGTCCTTATCGAACCACAAATAATACTATAATTGAAATTAATTTATGCTATTTTTTTACACCAATGTTATGAATTTTATCTGCTGTTAAGACTGAAAAATTTAATAGTTCCCTTTCAAAATGTTAGTTTGGTTTATGCTTAACCTTCTAAAAATGAATTACGTCAAAAATCCTATAATGCGTTTTTACTTTCATTATAATTGTACGGTAATTTCATAAGATATGCAGTCCCAGCTTTTCCCCTAATGTATAAATAAAAACAATTCATATATTTATGCATGTCAGTTTTGCTAACTGACATAAAAATTTTAATTAACTGAATTTTGTGGAATTTCATTGTTTACATCTTTGAAGTGACGTTAAATTCGTACCATAATTCCACTAGCGAATAAAAACATTTTTGAACTGCATCTGCAAAGACTACATAATTTATACTACATTAGTATCCATAAAAATATTTTGTCCTCGCTTTTAACAAACTCGCTTACCAAATCAAACATCCTCCTAATATTAATATGAGATCATTATAATGAGTTTGCAGTATTAATTCTAATGGTTTATGATATCGACAAAGTTTTTAAGTATGAAAAAAAAATTATGATAACACCTACAGATTCGTATCAGTCTCTTTCATTAATTGAAATTTTTAGTGATTGTTGTAATCATAACACCTAACATGAAATGCTTAAAATTTTGAAAATTAAATCTGAAACATCTAATTTTTTTTCTGTTATTAAATGACAATCATTTAGAAGCCCACAAATTTTTATAGAGGTGAAAGGAAAGGAATGGATAAATTGTGAAATTCGTGGCATTTTGCCTCATTTTTAATGTAAGTATCAGGTAGTTCCCTTCAAAACTTCCCACAAAGGCAGCCCTTCCAAGTGATAAAAATCTTCATTATCAATTGACGTGATTTGCTTTGTCGTAATTATTATGTCTTTCCTATCAGCAAACAGTTATCGAGCTTACCAGTTTTATGCTTTCTAATTTGTAATTGTGTATTATTTTTTGTTATGAATAATGAGTATAAATAACTATTCGAAAAAATTATTTTTAAGAATTTTGTTTAACACTGTTTATTACATCAATAATTATGTCAATCATAACATAATAATTATGTCAGGAAATATACATTTAATTTTCACTATGATCGATACCTGTGATCATTCGTTTTCCATTACTCAAAATAATTCTTTTTTTATTTACTAATTATATTCATTACTTCAATAACTTATTACTATTCTTTTAACAGGCCAACCTGGTGTTAGGCAACCGTATCCTCCTCAGCCGGGAAGCTCATATCCTCAACAACCTGGAATACCTTCAGCACCTTATCCACAACAACCAGGAGTCCATTACCCTCAACAGCCCGGCATGCCTGCTCCTTATCCTCAACAACCAGGTATGCGTCCGGCACCTTATCCACAACAACCAGGAGTACATTATCCTCAACAGCCTGGCATGCCCGCTCCCTACCCTCAACAGCCAGGTATGCGACCGGCACCTTATCCACAACAACCAGGAGTACATTATCCTCAACAACCTGGCATGCCCGCTCCCTATCCTCAACAACCAGGTATGCGACCAGCACCTTATCCAGTACAACCAGGTATACATTATCCCCAACAACCTGGCTATCGGCCTCCTTACCCAGTTCAGCAAGGAAGACCCTATCCTCAGCAGCCGCTTGGAGGAAATGTGTGGCAACCACAGTCCGGTATACCAGCTCCTGCTTATATGAACTATGGTGGCCTTCCAACAGGTGCTAATATTAACGTAAAGCCTCATAAGAAAAAAGGTTTTCTTGGTTCTTTGATGTCTATGGGAGGACCAAAGCATAAAATGGGAAAAAAGAACAAATATTATGGCTCTCAACCAAATCCTTATGCAGTTGGAGGCATGGCAGGGGTTGCTGGCATGAGAGGAGCTGGTGGCTTGGGAGGACTAATGGGAAATCGTATTCCCACAGCTGCGATGTATACAATACTTCCATATATGGCAATGAAAGCAGGATCGAATCTTTTTAGGCCTAGATTAGGTTTTATGCCAATGTTTCTACCAAGTCCTTTCCATCATCATCATTACGGATACCATTACCATCATCATCATAGATATTATGATGTATACGATAATGATTACGGTAAGTATTTTTATATACATTTTTATCTTTACAAAATCATTGAAAATTAAGTATAAATATTCAAAAGTTATAAATACATAAAAATTAAGTATTAGCACTCAGCGTAAAAGAAATTAAATAATGAAGAATCCGCATGTACGTATGTATGTATGCTCCTCGCATTGTGAAAAAACGATGGTCCCTAGAGCCATTAAATTTTGAATAATGTTGTCCTCCATCCGAACATGTACAACTGGGAGCCCGAATTTTAAATCTCGAATTTCATATTTTATAAAACTTTAATTAATTTTTGATTAGCAAACTATCGATTGTTTTACCTTTTTCCAGATACTCTTTGTGGATAATAGCAAGGCAGTCCTACCAGACACAAAGCATGATATTTTTGTTAATCAAATTGCGCTTTGCGACGCTGTGAACGGGTTCACCGGGCGCAGACCAACCCCCTTTTCGGCCTGTGTTCTTGAAATAAATATGTTTTTCATCACAAGTGATGATCCGGTCCAGAATTTTGTCCTTGTTTGATACTCGAGCAGATTAGTGCAGGCCCGAACACGTCTGTCCTTATCTGTTTGAGTCAGCTCATGCGACACCCTAGCAATTGAACCTGTAAGTCAAGTTTATGCGATGCATAGCGCGACTAATGGACAGGACACTAACGTCTAACTCCTCAGCAAGCTCTCGAGTGGTTGCATACTGATCTTCCATAAGTTCTCGCAAGCGGACCTCATCAACATCAGTAGGCCGGCCAGAGCGCTCTGCTTCTTGAATATCATAGTCCTTGTTTTCGAACTTTCGGTACCAAACCTTCACAGTGTCATATGATACAACATTAGTACCTAAAGTGTATACACGATTTGGTGACATTTTGTAGCTAACGTTTTGCAACAGAACTGGAAGCAAATGATGGTTCTGGTAGCGTGATAATTCCATTTCAGATACCTTATACCAGCGTTTCCCAAACTTTTTTGACCGCGGCCCGGTACGAGATTTTAATTTTTTTCGCCACCCACCTTATAAAAAAAACCATTTATTTACAAAACAAATTTTATTTTTTAATAAAAATCAAAATTCAAGTTATTTGTTTGTTTATTTCATGCACAAAAATTGCAAAATATATATAACAAAAATATAAGTAATTAAAGACAATCCATTATCTTCATTTAAAACTTAAAAGTAAATTTTGATTTACATATTTTGACCTTAGGGCGAAGGATGATGTCAGTTTTCATCACATAGTAATTTCAAATTAGGACTTAATGATGTTAATTTTATTCTCAAATTAGGTTCGACATTCAATCTGTTTCGATACTTACTTTTTTAAGTACACCAAGGCTGAGAACGCAGTTTTGCACGTATAAGTGGTGACAAAAGGCATTAAAAATTGTATCGCTTTTTCGCTTACACTTGGATATTTCTTTTGACAGCGGAACCAAAAATTAATTAGTGGTACACTTTCAAACACATTTTTAAGATCGGTGTCGCATGAAATTTCAATTAAATTGTCAACTTTCTTGTTCACTAAGATTAAGCATTTCTTCCTTTTCAATATCGACAGGAAAAGAATCTTTAATCCATATATTATTTGAAGGAATGTCCGGAAAGTAATCTTTAAAACTATTTATTAGATTCCGAAAGATGTTCTTGAAATTGAAACTTGATAGTGTTTCAAGATGTAAATCTTCTTCATCGTAGTTTGAATGGGTTTCAATAAATTTATGTAATGTTTCAAAAGATTTAAAATTTCCTTTTGAAAGTCTTTGTTTCCACAGAGTCATTTTTTTAATTATTGCAGCGACTTTTTCCGATATTTATTTAAATATTTAAACCAAATATATTTAAACCAAAGCCTTGCAAGTTTAAATTCAATTCACTGAATGTAGCAAATATGTCGCACAAATAAGCTACTTTTATTAACCACTCGAAATCGGGGAATCTATCCCTTAAATGGAAAAATAGCATCTTTTTTAGATGGTGGGTGTTCATTCAGAAATACCAAGGCTTCGTCTTTTAGCTCAAACAGGCGTTTTAAAACGTTTCCTTTTGAAAGTCATCGTGAATTACAATACAAAAGGAGGTGTTTATGATCACTCTCCATTTCCTTGCATAATTCGATAAAAAGTCTGCTATTTAAGGGACGAGACTTTATGAAGTTTACAAACTTGACATTTTTCCTAAGTCCTGTTTAAATTTAAAGGCATTCGTTTTACCGCCAACGCTTGTTTATGGATAGTATAGTGCACCCATTCACAATTAATTGCTAATCCTTGAATTTGTTTAAACAAACCTTTATGACAGCCTGCCATTGCACGTCTCCGTCGCTACTTATCCCAACACACTTCATCCAATCAATACCGTGACTAGTGACAAAATCATTTGTAGCCTTAAAAATTTCATCCGAGGTCGTTCTTGTCGGGAGCCTTTTACAAAACAAAAAATTTTCTTGTATGGTGTCTTCGTCAATATATCTGATAAAACACATTAAATTTGCATTATCCTCGATATCTGGGCTTTCATCTATTTGCAAGGGAAAAAACTTGCTCTTTTTTACTTGAGCAACTAGTTCTTCTAAATGTTTCGTACAATCATCAATTCTCCGTTTAACTGTATTATTTGATAATGGTATCGCCGAAAATAATAATTTTTCCTTTATTCCACATAAATTATTTGCGACAATTTTCAAAGCGGTAAGTATTAATTTTTCTCCAGCATTATGAGGATACCCAATTTCAGCTATTAATTTGGAAATTTCAAAAAAGATGTCAAAATGAGGTTTTTATTTGATTGGTGAGGTAAGAGTGTATTTTTCATTTTTTACATCCTTGTACGAAGTAAAATGGAAGTATTGTAATAGCGAAAAAGTTTCAGGCAGCGTATTTCAACGAAAATATCCATTTTGACCTCTATCGAATGCAATTTAACGATGTTATTGCATGACATCTGTACGTAAGGACAGAATAAAAGACTCTTTTCCTCCAAAAAAATTATAAAACTGCTTTAAAATGAATTCTGAAGAGAATTTTTCGTGGCGTCTGTACGAACGTATGTAGGCACGTACGTACGTATCTCGCATAACTGAAAAACGAGTAGCCTCAGAACGTTGAAATTTTGTATATAGGACTGCTATAACATGTAGATGTGCACCTCGTATTTTGGTTGCAATCGGCCGCATCAAATGTATATAAATATATTTATATATATATATACTCTGTTACCCGGCTCAGTGATCTCAGTTTCTTTACTCTTATATGTTTGTAAATTGTACATTTCTTGCTTTAAAAATGATTGAATTATGTTGTTCTTATCTTCCGGTTAAGGTTTTTATGCCTTTAGTAAATCTGTATGCAATATTTTTAGAATTATCAACAATTTTAAAGTTGTTTAAGTGCCGCTAAGCCTAATATTTTTTTTTGGATGGGGGCCATTGCTTGTTTACATTTGAAACAGCAGAATAGTGGATTTGTTTCAATCTAGAAAACTTTGCTTCGCAACAACAAAGATAACGCCTTCATTTATTATTGCGAATTAAATCATGCTTAATCCTTTCTGGAATTTTTTCGAGGAAATAAGTGTTTAAGATTTACTTCGTAATTTTTTATACAGATATTTTGAGTTTTTATGTATTTTTGCCTTGTCGGGAAGTGAGAACTGAATTAATTGAATGAGAAATACTCAATCGTCTGTGACAAACTGTTTCTTTTTTTGTTTTGTTTGCTTTATTTCTTGTATACATCGTTCTAGCTTTATTATAGTATTTGAATAGAAAATGTGGCATTAGATTAGGAAATTCTTTAAATGATATACATTTTGTGCATTCTGAGTTACAATATGAAGTGTGAATGCAAATTCTACTAATTTTTATGAACTTTTAATTTTTATGAACTATGTTTTTGACCAAAGTCTGATTGAACTTTGACGTTTCGATGCATGTTAAAGACATTACTGATTAATTGAACGCAGACTTAAACTGTTCTCCTATCCTGTGACAAAGTGCTCTCAATTCAGAATGCTTCTTCTTAAATAACTCCGAATTAATATCTAGCAGAGACTGAATGCGACCATTTGTAAAAGAGTGCTTTACAACTTAAAGATCTATGGAAACTTTTGCTTCCCCACGACCAGATTATTTCAAACCTTAGGGTTTTTGAATGCATTCTACGCATCTGGGTCATAGATGTACCAATAGTACATCTTCTTTTTGATACAAACGTGAAAGGCCTAAGGCATACTTGATCTATTGGTGATAACTCGCAGTAGTTGGTGCCAAATGCGAGTGAAGGTAAAGGTAAAGGTTATAACATTATTACGAAATGTCCACACGCGGTAAGATAGCTTCCCCGCAAAGCAGTTTTATGGTTGCTATAAAACGGCAAGGAAAGGGAGGGTTGCCACATTTAGCGAGAAATCGCCCATTTGGCGACGATGGACGACAAAATTGGCGATATGCCACGGACGGATGGAGAACCTTCTAAAACAAATTCTTACCGGTTTAGCCCAGAATGTTCTCGAACACAAGCCGAAAGCTATATAAACCCTGCTAGGTCCGCAGTCAGTTAGTGTATGTGTGCCTCGTCGAGACATACGAGTGAACTGACTGCAAACTCAGTCAGAGTTTTACTGCAAACCAGTAGAGTGTGAGTTAGTATCAAGTTGGTGTCTCGTCTAGCGAGCCAATCCCTGCGGAGTCGATCGAGTTGACAGCCGGGCAGCGAGTGTCGAGTGGGTCATCGAGTTCACCGAAGGAGTCTCTTAGTGTATCGCGGTTAGTGCATTGTCGAGAGAGCGTGTTGAGCTCCGGGAACGACTGAACCGAAGCGTCGGGAGCCGTGCTCTGTGTGTTGTCGAGTACATCGCGAGTTGTAGCGTGGAGAGTCTCGAGAGTACGTGGAGTTCCGAGAACGAACGATCAGAGTCGGGAGCTGTACTCAAGTGCTTTGCAGTGAAGCTGTGTTCACCGTGATAGCCTGATAACCTGAAGGCTGTGTCGCTGATCGTGTCAGCGTGTTTATAGGAGTTCATCGACGACCGTAAAACGTGTTTTGGAGCTGTCCTGACAATACTGGCTAAAAAAGTGTGTTTTTATACTTCATCATCAAGCGTCGTCATTATTCACTCCAAATCTACGAACCCCGTACGAACGTGAAGGAAGAAGAAAAACGCAACAATATGAAGGAAATATAATACTGTTAAGTGAACCTAGCGCCAGAGTGTCGCTATGGTAAACAAATATAGTGAATTTTAAAGAGTGCATTTATTCTATTGTGGTTTATGCGCTGTCGACGAAGTATATTTAATTCAATCCAATAAGTTTAAATGAAATGCAAGAAAAAATGCGTATAATTTAATATTCCGTACAAGGAAGTCATGTGGTGTACATATCAGATTTTTTTAGCAGCAATCAATTCATTTTTCTTATCAGTAAAAATGTTGATTGGCTTATCAGAGTACTCAGAATGGAGTGTGTTTAAATGTCGTTTCAACTTTGACAGTTTCATACTTTCATTTGAAAGTTGCTCATTGCAAATAACACATAGCGGCAAATTATTTTGACTGCCGCCGGCAATGAACCCAAAGCGTAAATTTTCGTCACAATAGTTGCGAGTCCGAGTAGCTTTAGGATTGTTATTTTGGCGCTGTATATCTGCTTTAAATACTTCAGGCACAGTTTCTCCACGATCATGATGTCAGCTTTGCTCGTGCATGGTTGATCATCATCATTTAAATCTGTGGTTTTCTTGATTAACCATTTATCCATTTTAAAAAAGGTTGAAAACTTTAATAAAAAGAATTTGTTTATTAATGATTTATAAGAAAAAGTAGTTTTATTACTTACCAGTATGAAGTTACTATTAATAATAGGTAATAATAAGTATTGTCAAATAAAATAGGTAAAAAAAATTCAAACATAACGTTGTTTTAATACACGTGAGTTTACGGCGCATGTCAGGGATAAATAGAAGGGCTAGCTCATTTCTTTGTTCGACTCCTCGCCGACGCGAGCCTAATGGGGGGACATAACAGGCAATAATCTGACGTCACTGTGATGCCACCTGTCCTGATTTCCCGCGTTTAAAACAGTAGTTTCATTGAGCTGCGAGACGATTTTCTAGAGGTTACACATCCCAAATTAATTTTAATAATATATATATCTGTTTTCTAATAATATATATATTTAAAATAATTTATATATATGCAATTTTAGTCAGTTTTTATTTTAAATTCTATATTGTAAAATATCGTTTACGTAATATGGCTTTTTACGCTGCAGTAACGTGCCGTAGCACTTACAGAAGTATGAAAGGATGAGATATTTTATTTCATGGGACCAACAGATCCAAATGAAAGTTTACTTTTGACGAAAGAATGGATACACAAATGTCCAAGAGAAGATTCTATTAATGTGAAGAGCGGAAAAATCTGCAGCGAACATTTTCTATGCAGTGTTTATGAAGATGATATGAAAAATCGCTTGTTTGGATAGCCACAAAAAGAAACTGTTGAAATGGAATGCTGTGCCAAAAGTAAATTATGATGACAATAATAAATCGAAATTGATGATGACAATAATAAATCAAATTTTAATGATTTTGAAATAAACTCACAAATGAAAATGTAGATCATCCTGAATGTTTAAGGATAAACAAGAATGCATTGATAATTTGAAGAACAAAATAATATCCTTAGAAAATTGTATTAAATTGTATTAAAGTATTGAAAAATAGAGAAAAGAAAAATTTTAGAATGTTTGTTCAGCGACAAAGAAGGTGGACGACATCTAGACAGAAATTGGTATCAGAAATTAAAATATCAAATAGCGAAATTTGGGGGAGGAGCACAAATTGGAGAATTTGGAAAAATTTCTAAAGCCTATTTTTATAAAGACTTAGATTAATGCATTACTGAAAAAGAAGAAAAAAATCAGGTGGACTAGTGAAAATATTTCACGTTGCGATGTCATAAGAGCTCTGTCATCTTAAAGCTATGATTTTTGGAAAGAAAAAAATTAAGAAAAAAATTGGAATATCTTTACCTAGTATTATGAAATTAAAGAAATTTTTTTTTTTTTTTTTTTTTTTTTTTTTTTTTTTTTTTTTGGTGTTTATTTTATTTTTTAGTGTTTTCTAAATCTTAGTGTCGTCCAAGAATTCAAAGTAATGTTCTTACTCTAAAGAAGGAAAGAGGCGAATATTTGTATTCTGTAGAAAAAAATGTGCATTCTCAGTTTCGACGAAATGCATATAGATTGAAAACTCTGCTATGACTCTAAATGGACTAAGTTGGTTCTTTTTAAAAAATGTGCAGTTTTTTTAATCAGAGGTCTCATTTCGCGCTCTGCCTCAAATTACTGAGAAAAACCGCGTTTTAGATAGAGGATTTGTTTTAGAAGATGTAACTGTTTTAAATTTTGATATATTAAAGAGGTTTTAAATAGAGATTGAGAAGAAATCAAATTGTGTCACAAACTAAAACCAAATTATTTAATGGTCAAGGGGAAACGAGAGACAAAACGTCGCTCCAGAGAAGACATTATTTTCAAAAAGTACCGCAAAAGGTATACTCTAGCCCACAGGAAATCAGAAAGCATCTGACTTCTATGAGTTAATCGATAATATCTTCGGTATTATGAATAGTACCAAAATAGTACCAACAACAACAATAACAAGTATTTAACAACTAATTTTGTTAATTACTTGTTAAAGTTATTCTTATTGTATCCTTCGTAACTAATTATTGATTAGATTTTGTGCTAGATTAGCATTCTAGATAAAATATAATAGTATAAAACATCAAAGTAATTGGCATAAAAACACCTGCTTCCTTTACTCACACTTTTGAAAAAATTAAATAACTGTTTTAGGTACTCTGAATAAAGCTATTTTGTCAAAATTAAGGTAACAATCTTATATACATTTATTTAATTGTAATATAGATATAAGTATAAATTACAAAATTATTTAAAAAATATCTATTAAGAGAATTATAACAATGTAAAATTTACAATTAGGCAAAAAATCAAACGTAGGTTAGCAGAAATGTTGCCATATATGTCATATATGTTTAAACTTATGTCAATGTAAAGTTGTTTTTTGAGTAAATTTAAATAGCTGCTATTATAGTTATCTTAGAAGCAGAATAAAAATTCTCTCGGTTAGCATGCAATTAAAGAAATGATTAGAAATAAACGTGCATTAAATAAAAAAAAAACATGCAAATAAAAATTTAAAAAAAACCACGGAACTTTATGTTAAAAGAGTAGCACATTTTATCTATTATTTTAAAATTGAGTAAGCATTATTAAATTTTTTAATGGTTCAGTCTAAAATGCATAAAGCAGTAACATTGCCTCTTCCAAATTATAGCTATCTTTCACACACAACTCATTTTAAACGCTGGTTCAAAAACGCTAATTTCCAAGCTGTGAATTATATTGGCGCGCTCATTGTCATCATGGCTACGTCATCACTTCTCACTTTCTGCTTCAGGGGGAAAAGCTCTATGAGCTAGCCCTTCTCTATTAAGTCCTGGGCGCATGTACCGGAGAAGGCACTGAATGACGAATCGAAATCAGCCAATAGAGCATCTGAATTTAAACGGTCCGGTAGGAAACGGTGGTAAAGGGTTGCCACCTGCAGTACTTGAAATGTTTCGAAAAATATTAGAGCAAAATGGTATAGATTCTTTGTGTTTTTACAATTTTTGCCACGACCCAACTGAATTTTTCTGCGACCCGATGTCGGGTCGCGACCCACGCTTTCGGAAACGCTGCCTTATACTAATGATAACAATATTTTTTTTTTTTTTACAAATTTCACAACACAGTGTTAAGTCTCTTTGTTTCAAATACCAAAAATCGTTTGACAAAATATGATTAAACACGCCAACGCAAACTGTTTGCGCAGAAGATATTTGCGGTAGCGGGAAACTTTCGTTAAAACCCGATATGTAGCATTTTTGGACACTAATTCTCAACACATTACTTACGTCGACATAATTACAAATGTAGAAACACTTTCCTTCGTGTGTGCAGATTCGATGCATTAATGGATTATTCATGCATCTTCATTGTATGCAAGAATTTTTATTTGTTACGACTAACTGCTTGTTTCATTCTTCTAGTGGGCAAATGTAATCGGCCGATTAAGCGTGAATATGCCAATATTACATGCAATTCAACAACAAGTGAAGTGTAAGTACATAATATTGCTTGCTATTTATTCAAAAATTGTTTCATTTTATTATTAGTAGTATTAACATCATTAGCACCATTATTATTATTATCATTATTATTAGTATTAACATCATCATCACTACTGTAATTTTTATTATTATCATCACAATCATCATTTACCTTCCTCCGTTAAACAATGACGATCTTGTTGTTTAACAAGAAATTACATAAATAAAGGCAGTACCTTCGTTTAAAAGAGAAAAAAAAAAAAAAAAAAACTTTTGAGTTTTTTTTAAATATACTTCTTAAACTAAAATAGCAAGAGCTTCATAATAGAAAATCTAAAGAAATAAAAATTGAGTTTTGTATAATTTGAAAACAATCAGTTGGGCACACAACATGGCATAACTTACACTCTAATTTATTCTAATTGAATTCATAAAATATATATTTATTAAATACGAACATTCAACACTATTATTTTTCAGGTCTTATTAGGGTAAATCCTATCCATTTTCGGTAATCAGTTACACATTATCTTTAAATATTTATATGTGAACATATTATTCTAGGTACTGAACATCTTTGTTCTTTTCGTTTCTTCCGAGCCAACAATATTCAGTTAGTCAAACTGAATCCTTCGGTGATGTAAAGCATGTGACTTGGCAGTAAATATTTCACAGGTGAATTCAGGTGCGATTAGTATCGACTCTCCCTTATTCTCCCGTATCTCTTTACAAATTAAAGGGTGTTCAAATTAGCGCTATGTATTATTTTAAAAAAGTTATCGAATGTATTATGTAGCACCGAAAAGTTAGAATTATGCATTGTTTTAAAAATATAATACAACGAATACAAAAAAACTATGAGGCAACATTTAACACTGTAACGAAAATTTAAAAAATATGCTGCGTTTAAAAATTTTGTGATTTTACTATCGAATTTTATTTGGCATACTTGCGAAGAAAGTAGGAGAAGTTTGATAAGAATGATAGAGGCAAAAATGTTGTGTTAGCAGGGGTGAGTATATAAGGTATTTCTCCCGCCTTCCTAGTATACCTTTGTGGTGTGGTGGTCTGCACGCTGGGAGCGTATTATAGAAGTCCGTGGTTCGTTGCTCAGCTTCATCTTGCCTGCTTCCAGAATATCCCTAATGTCTCTACAAGTCTAAGAGCAGTTTGGTAAACTGCGAACTCAGCGAGGACATAAAAAAGCTTTAATAAACACTCTAATGGGACGATAAAATCTGCATGTCTTTTTATTTTTATGTCAAATCAAATTTTGAATCAAACAACCCATAAGAAAACGAAAACGCCGAGTCACTGAAGAACTAATTACCGAATTTCAAACATTTTAAATATAGAAAAGATAACTGGGGTAATCGAAGGTACTTTCTTGCCCACGGAGAAAGAGATGCTTGAAAAAACAATTTGACAACAGAGTTTTTCACAAAACACAACAAATTACATTCTTTGAGTAAAAAATAACAGTAAATCTGAAAAAATTGTTATAGCTAAAGAATTTTGGGGATCTTTCACTCTCTCCACATATTTATATATATTTTTCTTTCTAAATATAGTTTAATGATACATATATATACTTTATATACCACTCAGACTGTATATATATAGTGGTTATGGGAGGTAAACCGCTGAGTTGGCTTCCGACCCAGGTATAGATATATCCATGCAGAATTGGTTAACAACTCGGCAGGAGTCAACCACTAGCTACCAGGTCGCAGCCCTGGGCAGCCCCGGCTGAGCAGACGACATTTAGAAAATCCGAAAAGAGATATACATATGCATACAAAGCACTTGAAGAAGAGTACAACAATGTACAAAGAAATATATACATGTGCATACAGGGCACTTGAAGAAGAGTACAATCAAAATATATGTATGTACATATAAATACAAACTCATATACAGATATATAGTACACACTTACATACATAGATATTCCGAAACAAATAAAAGTATACATACTCTCACTCATATTGATATATACACCCATACATATACGTTATCATGATAGTAAAGTTTACAAGAAGCATGTCATTGAGGTACGCGTGATTCTTAGTATAAATTAGGTACCATAAATAATAGATATAAACATGTACAGATATATTACAGCATTCAGATACAGTACGAACTTTATGTATGAGAACCTTGGCACAGCATAAATACAAAATTACATATTGAACATAAATATCACATACTCTGTTGCTGACATATTGAACTAGCTTATATAGACTTTTATGCCTACTATCTTCCAGTGTCAGAAGAGTAATTGCTAGTACAGTTGTCAATTATTGTTTTCAGTTTCTGCTGGGCAACTGTGTTACTTTGTAGATTCTGGAACCAATTTAGCCAAAATCTGGCTCCTGGTCGCTTGAGGCTGTTAAGAGCTGTATGTGGGCCGGAGAACACAAAATGATCTGGATGACCCTCCTCCCCACATTCACAGTTACCATTCTCTCTCAAGCCAAAGCGGCAGAGGCGTGAAGGAAAGGGCCCATGACCAGTGAGGTAATACGTTATGTAATTGCTGTTAGTTTGGATTGTTGTCTTGACCTTGGGAATGAGATTGTAAACACGTCTCCCTGTGGAGGCTTGATCCCAACGTTCTTGCCATATTCTTAGGAGCTGATGGAATGTCCGACTCTTTAGGTCCGAGACTGGCCTAAGAGTCGGGACTTCTCGCAAAGTGGATGAATCCGCTGCTTCCTTTGCGACAACATCTGCTCTCCTACTGCGGTATCGAAAGGTCCGGATTCGAATCCTGGAGTATTAGTAAATGGCTAATGTCTTTGCGGCCTGGGGGCACTCTAAATATATGGAAAGCCGAAAGTCCTGTCGTGTGGATTAGTGGTAGGGAGAGGGGTGGGAAACCCTCCACCCATTCCCCCCCCCGTGTGCTCTGCCTCAAAATTCGGGTGGAAATAGAAGTCCAACCTCCTTAATGCTCTGGCAACTAACTATTCGTCCAAAAATTCATGGACAAGACAACAGCAACATATATATCATATACGTTGACACGTAAGTATGGCCTATGCTACATAAAAAATATTAACAGTAAAAAAGGAAAAATGTAAAAAATTATCTAAATCACCTTAAAAATTAATTTGGGTCTTATTTTCTCCTGTTTATCAGGATATGGTAGCCCTAGTTAAACAATAGTGTCAATAATCTAACACACTCAGAGCATAACAATGGGTTTCTTTGTTCTCGTTTTACGTTCTCACTCAATAATCCTTACTTAAACAAAAGCTATTAAGAATTATTTCAAATTACTGTAGGCTTTTATAATTTCTACTAGCAGCTGAGACTACTGTTCTCATTTGAAACGTTAACTGCCGGCTTCGTCTTCAGCAAATAAATCACGCCAAAGAATGATCAGCCGAAAAAATAAACTAAAATTCATTTAATTTTTGATGCTATTTCCCAGACGCTTACTAAGATTTAAAGAACTGAGAATATTAATAATTTCTGCAGATGTGTGATGCTTTAAATATTGGCGCAAAACTTCCTTATGTTTTGCAGCATATAAAAATCAATTTTTATAGTTAAAAAATTTTATACGCATATTGTTTAAATTCATAGCTATAAGCACTATTTTCTTTCATATTTCATTAGGGACTGTGAAGCTCAATGTGAGGAAGGATACAGATTTCCAGATAACTCAACAACCAAAGATAATAAATGTTGGCATGTGAGTGGAGTATGGCGCCCAACGAAAAATTTCCCAGAGTGTGAACGTGAGTATTAAGAAGAAATTGACTGCTTATTTATAATTACCACAACTTTTACAAAGATCCTATTTTTAGCTTCGTCATCAGGTTTCATATTTGGGAGAATAGTTTTAGATTTAGCGTCGTTTATAGTATCTTTTGTAAACAAATTTTATAAACGCATCAGTATATAAATCCGTCTGTAGCAAACTGATCCAACAATCACAGTGCACCAGGTTCAGGTTGAAGTGCAGTGGACCCCCAATATTTACCGTTGTTAATATGGGTATTGTCCTTCTTTACTAACTGACTTGCAAAGCATTAACAATACTGGTACAATAAAGATACAATGATATCGTTACAATCGGTGCCTTAATGCACTGTCATACTTTGGAGGACATTTCCAGTTGAGGTAAGTTTGAACATTCTTGCCACAGTTACAATTGTTTATTCACAGAAAAAGAAAAAAGTGATTGAATGTACAGTACAGTAAACCCTTGCTGAAGGCGAGGGTAACGTCATTAATACACTGCGCATACAGTAAAACAGCGTTTCGCAAAGTTAACTTTCTATCGGAAAAAAAAAAGCCTTAGGTACAGTTCAGACTAAGAAAAAATGTATAATTTATAGAACCTAAATATTATTGTAATTAAAAGGGGGAAATGAAACAAATATCAATTCAAAGGATTTCTGTTACTGCTTAATAAGTAAGTACATGATACAATTATTGTAACTCATTAAACGTTTCGCATAAGGACAGCAAAAATTTTCAATATCTTTCATAAACATTCTAATTAATTTTTCATTTGGGCCAATCTGCATTACAAAATCAGACAGTTCATGTGTCTTTTTAAAAAATTATTTTAACTTCTTGCAAGTTAAAGGCTCTTTATCTTCTTCACTATCGCTGCTTTCACCGTTGATTGGTGTTATAAGAACATCCAATTCTTCATTTGTCATTTAACAATCGTCACACTCGACTAATTCTTTGATGTCTCTTCCTACCATATCTGAAAGTTCTTCGCCATCTCTGTTGCTGCGACTTGAACGATTTCCTTGGCTTCATTTTCAATCGATGGAAATCCTTTAACATTGTCATTGTTGACAACTTCTAGCCAAATCTAATGCCATCAAACATTCATTTTTTTTTCCATTGTGGGCACTTGCCTAAAACGGTATTGGCCACAACTAAGGCCAGTAGTGGTGGCCATTTTATTGTGGAGGCACCTAACCTCCAATGAAGGCCTAACCTCCTAGGAGGACACCGTTACCTCCTATGAATGAACAGACAATTTTTACATCCACGACATCTCCGAGAATCGAACCCGGGCCCTTCGATGTCGCAGTCAGGCTCCCCTAATCACTATACAGTCTGGACGGCTCAAACATTCATTGTTGATGAATTCACTTGTTCGCATGCGAGTTTAATAATTTCTATGCAGTGTCTTATGTTGAACTGTTTCTAAAATTCCGTTAGTGTGTCGTGCTGTCCTTCGTCTAGTGCTTTATTTGCAGAGATGTAAACATGCCTGACATAACAGGCTTTAAATATTTTTATGATTCCTTGATCCACTGGTTTGATTAAAGAAGTGATATTTGATGGAAGGAATAAAACCTCTGCATTTGAATGCAATGATGCGAGGTCTTCAGTACGTATCCTGGAGCATTATTGATGAGAATTGGGAAAACTTTAAAAACTCAAGTTTTACTGTTCTAAGTAATATTTGATTTCTTTAATGAAAGAATTTTCAAACCAGTCATTAAGCAGGGCTATCGGGACACGGCCGACGCTCGGCACCATACCTCGTATAACTGAAATTCTCGCGTTGGACAATTAAAAATTCACGTGTATTCAAAACCGCTTTCCGCAAGTCCACGTTCGGCAAGGGTTTACTGTATCATTGACTACATTCAACAACTGTGCATTTTTTAAGTTAGAGTATTTCATAGTAATTTTTTTAATGCACGGGGCATGCATGGTACTGATAGAATACATAAGTAATATGTATCTGTTACATATAATACCAGCATATGCCCGTAATTCAAAGCATTTGTATTATGTATATTTCTGTCTGTACGTAATATAAGAGATTATCCTTGAACACAGCCCTACCTACATATTTTTTCAATTTATGAAAAGAGATCAATGCGCACCACTATATACAATGCAAGATGTTTGGTCTATGTATCTTATCACCTTAGTAAGAGACAATCGACCATTAACGGCCTTTACCAATGTATGATACTTAACTTTTAAATGCTTGAAGAATCGAGTAAGTTGTATCCAATAATATGGAAGTACTTGTACACATGCTGTGCTAGAACTCAGAGATTACTAGCGACGGAGGCTCCTGTGCCGCCGTCCGTAGAATAAGTAAACTTTGAACAAATGAGGTGCTCGTGTGGGGCCATCTATGAGTAGGGATCAAAATCATTTTAGTTGACTGGATCTCTGGTTGCGCCATCTCTTGCAGGATGTATTGTAAGGCATTTTTAAAATTTCATAAAAATTATTCTTCTGATAAGCAATAATTGGTAAGTAAAATGATGAAAAACACAATTTGCAGTACACTGAAACGTTTCACAGGAGTAAAAACTATTTACACACAAAGTCTACCTGCTTTGGCAGGAACAAAGTCCATAGGGCTTTGTAATTTGATAATCTATAAGTAAAGAAAATGAAGTAAAATTTTGGCTAAATAAGAAAACGAAAATACATACATTACCACCGACTATTATGATAGATGTTTGGTAGGGGAGAAGAAATATGTATATGTATGTATGTATATATATATATTCTATCTTACAAATAATAAATTAATAATAGCCCTTTAACTCCTGTCCTGCAATTCTGAAAAAGATCCGTCATCTAATCTGTATTGCCCATTTACTCATGAAATCTTAACCCAACATCTGGACATAAATCTGTCAGTTGATCTGAAATGGAATCCGGTATAAAAGGTAATTTATATTCCTCATTTTTCGCCTTCTTATGTTTATAGATAGTTCTAAGATAAGTTTTTTTTGTTTAAGATAGTTCTATGTTATTGTGCCCATCTGGCATAAATTTGATTGAGCCAGATAAACTACTGATCTCAGTGGTATTCTGGCTATAAGTTATCAGTCAGTCAGTCAGTCATTTCTCCTTTTCAATTCGCTGCGTCGCCCGACCCGCTAACTCCTCAGAGTTTAATTTTCCCAATTTCGTCCATTATTTAAGAAGATGTAAACTGTACAGAATTTTGGGGTGCAAAGCGCACCCACAGTGATGTGCATTATCAAGGAATAAAATTATGTTTCCAAATTAGCGGGTACGTCTGTCTTCGAGTGTCATCTTTCAGACCACGCAGTAAAGTCTCTCTAAGTTACAATGGAAAAATCCATCACCAATCCGTGGCTATTTTCTTTCACAAAGTCATTTTAATACAATAATGGTAGAAAAATGATCCCTGCTTGATTGAACATTAGTTTACGGAATTAAATTGCAAGTGTAAAAGTGCTAAATTGTCTAGCAATATCAAGAAAGAAAAACGAATATTATATCTTTTGCTCTTGTTTTTACTTCTTGGACTTGCAATCTACTTCTACTTTTAACTAGTGATCATTTAATTTGGAAGTGAAAAGAAACCTCTTAATATATTAACTAGGTGGTTCAAAGTTCTTAAAGGCTGATGTTTCGTGTGAATCCGTCTACAGTGTGCGGGATCGATTTTCGTGTTAAAACTTTTATTATTCAGCTTAATCAAATGACGTTCTTTTCAAAGGTGCAAAGATGAGAATTATGCAACGGATTTTAAATTTTTAAATTTTTCAGTATTCCCAGTATGATTTTTAATTTACAAATTCTGTGAGTTTATTTAATGTTATTTTGTAAATGATGTATGCTAAACGCTTCTCATTACCATCAACTAAGTGATTTTTAATTAAATACTGCTTTGAAATTTAGGTATGCAATTTTGTTTGAATTATATTTTAAAAATTTAGTACTATTTTTATGAAAATGATTAAAATTTTATGATACCAAACAATTTAGTTCTTCCTAATTATGTTTTACATAATTAAATAACGAATTTAAAGATTTGTAACTGTTTTATTTAGGTAAGGTTATTAAAATTTCTGTAGTAATAATTAGAAATGAGATTATTCTTTAGAAATTTTAATTTTAAGAATTTAAGTTTGAGTTTTAAGAATTTAAGTTTTTAGAAGGATTTCTTTTATACCAATTTATATTTTAAAATGCTTAGTATATATTAAGATTGTGCAGTTTCACATTTAACGGCTATCATGGGAATCTTGAAGGCACGTGTAAAATTTATGAATGGCCTCACCGTAACTTTTCTACCCGATTGTTTTGGTTGTAGTAATTGTTTCGTTGATAATTCAAAAGCAGAACACTGGAATCGCACAAAAACTTACCCAAATTTTCTCTCTCCATCTCATTACTCTTCATACTGTGTAGACAGCAGTAAGCCATCAGTGGTATGCAAGTTTGTAGATAGCACAAAAAGGAAAAAATTCTCTTCAGAGTGATCCTTCAAACTGTTCTGCAGTAAAAGAGCTATTATTGATTTATTATTTAAAAAGTAGATATTTTATATGGGGAAAGTGCAGAATCGCCCACTGCTTGGCGCGTTTTTAAGAATTGCACATACTCGGTATCCATGTACACATCGACCTATTTTCACTTTAAAAGTCAAAGAAAATTGACAAAAATTCAATTCTTCTTACTTTTGTAAAAGGAGCCAAACAAGTAAGTGGGCGATTCTGCACTAATGGCTTGGTGAAAGAAAATTGCAACGGGTTGGCTATGGTTTTTTGCATTATAACTTGGCGAGAATTTACTGCGTAGTTAGAAAAACGACACTTGAAGACAGACATGGCCGCTGATTTTGAAACAATTTTATTCCTTGATAATGCACATCATCATTGTGGGTGCGCTATGCCCCCCCAGTTCTGTACAGATTTTAACAAGAACGAAATTGAAAAGATAAAACTCAACTCTGCGGGCAGGGCGATGCAGCGGATTG